AATTCTTTTTCACCAATTTAAAATTCAAACTTAAGATATCTCCTTTTTTTTAATGGAATTCTTTTTGATATTAAACAATTAAATCTATATCACAACTCAAAATCAATTAACTCTACACTAAATAATGGTAAGTAAGAAATAAATTATTATAATAGTAATAATTTACTTTTAAAATTAATAATACTTATTATTATATGCATATTAATTCAATTATATACAATAAAAGTATCAACTATATATAGGTAATAATGTTCAACCCCTATATACTTGATAATTGCAAGTTTTTTTTTTTATATTAATTGCATAACTGAAGATAATTCTCTCATATTTTTTATTTTATCCCACTTATATATCATGCGACTCAAATTAAAATATTTTTATTTTCAATAAAAAAAATTACCATTAAATTAGTTAATAGTTAATAGTTGGAGGAATTTCCTCTTACCCAATATTTGTATACAAGTATAATTCTAAAGAACACCAAAACAACGACATCGTTTTGTTCTCATATAAACTTCCCCATGTCGTCTCCCTTATTGTCATCATAAATTTGATTATTCTCCATTACTTTCCTCTCAAAGCAAATTCCTTCGTGCACACACAAGCAGTCTCATCAGCGATTAATCCCCCACTCCTGAGCCATGTCTGCTGAATCTGCCAGCGCAATTCAACGAGGCCAAGTATGTATTCAAAGTTTCAACTTTCTTTCTTCTTTTTCCTTTCAACACCTGCTTGATTCCTGAGAAATTGAGATGGATGGTAATCGGTAGTATCTAGCAATTGGGTTTTCTTTAGGGTGGTGTTTTAAGTTTAAAGTTTTATGCTTTTTCTCTTCCCAATACAGATTTTGGGTTATTAGCTTGTGGGAAGATCTAAATTATTTCCGCTGATGATGAATCTTTGGACATCAGGTTGATCTGTTGGACTTCATTGACTGGTCTGGAGTTGAATGTCTTAATCAAAGCTCCAGTCACTCTCTTGCCAACGCTCTCAAACAGGTATCTTCTTTTCAGTTTATTTGTCATTGATTTACTCTGTGCTATGGAGGAGACCTTGTTTTGTTCAATAATCTCTGTTTCTGTTCAAATTTTCCTTTTGAAATAGTGGGTATATTTGGAGGGTCTTTTGAGTAGAACTTCTTTTCTTGCAAACTAACAATTTCAATGTCTCTAGTCAATTTTCTATTGGTTTCTTTACGTTGTCCACTGTGAAGATTGTGGGTTGTTCCATCAAGCTTAATTGGCCTTTTATGAACTAGGGTTACCGTGAAGATGATGGGTTGAATTTGGAGAGTGATGCAGATGAGCAGCTTTTGATTTACATCCCTTTTACTCAAGTTGTTAAATTGCATTCTATTGTAATCGAAGGACCTGAAGAGGAAGGTACCAGCTTTTGTTTTCCATATATTTACCTTTAGTAGTGTTCTCCATTGTTTTCTTGCTGCATTTATGCATGACAACTGACAAGATTAATCTTGAAGCAGCATATGCATCTCTCTTATTAATCTTTACAGAATTTAAGATACCGTTCCCTCTTATTAGAGTAGTTGTCTACAAGTTTGCATGCTTGTCCTTTTTGCTTATTTTGAGCACATAAAGGTTTTGACCTTTGAAGTTTTGTTTTTTCTTTTGCTTTAACTTCAAAGGAAAGGACTTTCTATGTTTTGGGAAAGAGAAAAAGAGATGAGTAATTTTAGTATATGAATGAGGATGAAATGGGAAATTAGTAGCATGGCATCCTTTCCGGTTGCTGATGTGCTAATATTATAACCTGAATGTTACTTTTTAGGTCCTAAGACTGTTAAACTTTTCTCAAACAAGGAGCACATGGGATTTAGGTAAGTTTTGACTTTTGAGGAACAATTACTTTTTCTAGGCCATTTTGTTTAGTTTTAACGCATGTATTTTACTAATGTAGTATTTCATTATGATAATGGCAGTAATGTTAATGACTTCCCTCCGAGTGACACTGCTGTTTTATCCCCAGAGACTCTGGAGGTAGGTTTTTCTATTCTTAGAAAAAATATGTTTCCCATGAAAAATTGTTGTTAGACAATAACTTGTATTGACTTTTCTTTCTTTTGTCAGGGAAAACCAGTAATCTTGAAATATGTCAAGTTTCAGAATGTTCGAAGGTAGTCTAGAATTTATATTTTTATCCCTCTACTTAGGTTTTGGCCAAACATTTTAACTGAACTGGAAGTTGGATTTTACTCTACAGCTTGACGATATTTATTGAAGATAATCAGTCAGGTTCTGATATCACCAAAGTTCAGAAGATCACTCTGAATGGAACAACGTAAGTTTTTATTTACTTGTTGCAGCTTTATTTCAAGTTCTCCACCTTATTTTGCAGTCCTTTTGATACAAACTCAAGAAACCCATATGTATTCTCATATTGGGGAATATGAAGTTCATAATTTTTCTTCTATGCATATGAAGTATGACTTTTAGTATGAAAACTTAATTTGAGCAAAGTTGTGACTTGTGTGACCTTAGATTTCGGAGATTTTATTCTTTAGGCTCATTTTGGCTGTAACTATGATGCTTTATATGAATTAGTTTCACTTACGAGGATGGGGTAGTTAGAAAAGGTTGTGAACACTATATTCTTGAAGAAGGAAAAAAAACGGAGAGAAACTATAAAAGCATTGATCTAGCTCAAATGGAATACAGAAAGAAAACTTGGGCTACTGTCATGATAGATCTTCTCATTTATGGAGAAGCTATCCTGAATCTCTGGAGAAGTATATAATTTTCTTCCATCTTTCTACATTTCCACAATGAATATCTGTCTTGTTTGCCCTTGCTTAGGAAGTCAAGATAAAATTATCTGGTTCTTTTTCTAGTTTACTGGCTTTACGTTCTAATCTTTGTAGACCCTGGACAGCTAAAAATCCTTTCTTTCTCTAATGCTTACACATGTTTTGTGGGCACTAGACAGCAAACACAAATTTATAATGGCTGCTTTATAGTCTATTTTATTTTCTTGATCTATTGTTTGCCCATCAACATCTCAAAGTAGTCATTGCATAATTAGTCTTACCTTCTCAGAGTTTGGCAGTATGTCAAAATGTAGTTTGAGAGAGATTATGCGTTTATTTGGGATTGCTGTGTAGTGTTGTGCATGTGATTGCATCTATATGTTGTGCTGTTGTAAAAAACTATGGTATTGTTTGATAAACCTTTTTTTTTTTTAAGTGTCGTACATCTGTACAATTACTAAAATATATAAAATATTAATAAAAATCAATTTAATTGTTACAAAGTAACATTTGAATAGTGCATGGCTATGTGGAAAAGCACTATCACAGCAAATCCCAAACACACCCTAAGACATAATTTTGAATCTCCCATCAAATGTTTAAGTCTCAATATAAAGCTGTGTATGTTTTGCATGTTAACTGTTGATCAAAATATTTGGTAGTAAACAGAGCGCCGTGCTACTTATGGTTGAATCTATGCACGGTACACAACTGAATTGGAACAAATTAGTAAAAGTTGAATGAGTTCTTCACTTTTTATTTGTGAACCTCAAAGATCTCCTAATTGGAATTTGTATGACATGGTTTTTGAATTGCAGGGTGGAAACAACAGACATGAAGGGATTGAAGAAGATAGAGGATCACTGACCCAGAAACAGGAGAAAAAAGCATGGATTAACGAAACACATGGGTCACCATAACATTGTTAAATCTTCTTATCAACCAAATGGGTCACTTGTAATTGTTAAATCTCATCAGACATTTTCTAATTTTTTGATCAAATTGACAATACAAACCAATTTCATGTATGGAAAATTTGACTGTCCTTGGAATTCTTAGAAATTTCTTCTCAGAATGCTGTTTGTCTATTCATTCCCTAATGGGGAATAGCATTTCATGAACACAATGTAAGGATAAGAATTACAACAATTTGTTACAATATATTGGATGCAGTATCGAGATTTGCCAATTAGCGAAGGGAAACAAAGTGTTATACATGAATATCCATATGGGAATTATTTTCCCTATCCAAGCTACTTAGTGGAGAAAGGAAAGCCATGAATATTAGCACACAACCATTCTAAAATGAACTGCCAAGGCCAGTTATTTTCCTCAATCTAACAATATATTGGAAGCATTTCTTCTGTATCAGCTCAATGAGGGATTAATTGCACCGAGCATACAGGTCGATACTACCTAGTTGCAGTCTTGAGGTTGAATTAATATCTCTCACTTTCAGAAAACGAAATCTGCAATTCATACCGTAGCTAAGTAAGTGTCAAAGGAGACAAATGAGAAATGAACCAGGGCAAAAAAATACAAAAATACCTGAAAATGTTGGATTGAAGACCAGTAGATCTTATTGTGTATGACCTACGCTGAAATCGCTTATCAAAAAGCTGAGAAGTTTGTTCGTCAAGAACATGCCAACTGGATCCCCCATCATCACTTCCCTCAACAACCCTGCAAACATACATTTTGAATGCTCAATCAGATAGTAGAAACGAAAAGTATGAAGAAAAAAGTCTTTACCACCCAGTATATATATCTTCCAATTATTATTTAATAATTTGTAGCTTAGGGAAGTCGTCAAAATAGAAGGTAAGCAATCATTTTATAAATGGTAGTTTTCTCAACTACTTGACGCTGGCTAAAATAAATAAAAATACAGTTTGCACTTATACAAGTACTCAACAGAGAATCTTCAGAATTCCTCTTTGCATTGAGAGTTCCTCCGAAATTTGAAAGTTGAAACACTAGTGACTACATTATGAGAGTAACAAATCACTAAATGGTAGACAATGATTAAAGAGAAAATTTGGATGACAGCTGAAAGAAGCAGACTTTGATACCAAGCACATAGTACTAAATGGAAACTGTAGGCTTAGGCAAATGTTTATTTCATGAGTTTTTAAATCATACCAATCCATTGGGTCTCTCTCTGGAGCATCATTGGCTGACATTAACTCATAGGCAACAAGTTCCTTCATCTGGTTGTCCTTCGTTTTATACATGATCCAACAACCTACATATAAATTCATTAATAAATGAAGTTAGCATGTCAAGAGAGGACAATTTAATGCATTGTACTCATGAAGATCCAAAAATTCTTAGCCATTATCCTGCTGCAAATTAAAAGTAAACATTGGTCTCTCTTAGAATGGGGGTGGGAAGAAATGCAAGAATCTTGTTCCAGGATAAAATCTTTCTGGAAACGTTCCCAGATACATAGGGTTTAACCAATTCATGAAGGTGAAAAAAGAAAGGGAAAATGATGAATTGCACGTGATAGCTCAATTGTTGGCATAGGCATTAAACTTAGCCAACGAACCTGTCACTCCATCTCCTCCAAGCTTTTATATATTTATGATTTCAACATAATACAATACCAATCCTATAAATAGAGTGCCAGTAGGATAAAAGGCGTGTGTTGCTTCACAAAGCATTAACAACTTAAGTCATACATTTTATAATCCCATATGAATTTATTTTCTCCCTTGGTGGGTTCATTCACTTTACCAGGACCAAGAAAGGGCAGTTTGTCATATTGGTTCTTAATACCTTGTGCACCATTGGGTTCTTCCCATTTAGACATTCGAGTTCCATCAAATGCTGCTGTGGCCTGAAAATTTCAGCAATTGAGTTTAAAGCTAAGTTACAAGGAAGAAATCTGATAATCCAAACATGCAGAATTAAGACAGGTGCCAGCTACAACTTACAATTCCAAAGGGAAGCTCCTCACCACTTGCAAGGACTGAACCAGAACATATTCTGTTTAATCTCACAAGGGGAAAGGATAAGGAATCTTTACCAAAATTGTCACATTTGTGAAGATCATTCATCAGTTCATCCAAAGCATGCAACACAACAGGCAATGCTAGAGAGGTCTTCACAGGATCACCAGCTAAACATATCTGTACCCTGCCCTCAGCATCCAACTCACTCTTCAGCAAAAGAGCGTTAAGCAACGCATTAAAAGAGGGCAGCAACTGGTGCACCAAAGATATTTCAGTGGTTGGAGCCAATTTTAGAAAAGCTCTCCTTGTTTTATAGGGTAGTTTTTTGAGAGCTATCAGAGTCTCTTCAAAAATCTTGAGTGCTTCAGCACCTTTGTGTGCAGTTAAAGAATGCTCCAAAAACTTATGAAGTACTGGAGAAAATGCATTATAAATCTCTGTCACATGCTCATCTGTGCACATACGAACTGGACAAGAAGAACAGCCCAAAGAGTCAGAACCAAATTCGGATCTTGAAATACGCCACTCCTTATCCCCACTTTGTCTCCCAGGCAATGAGATTGAGACATCATCAGTAGAATGTAAACCTCTCTCAAGGGCTTCCCTTTCAGTTTTATCTCGGTCTTCAAGCACAGAAAGAACTTCAATTGTAAGACTTCTCCGACATTCTTTTGTCAAAGAAGTAAGAACAGATAACACAGAGGACTCTGTTGTGATGGTTCGTCGAGAAAGAACCTGAATAACAATAGAGAGAACAAAAAAAGTAAGTAGGTAGTAGGAGAAATTTACTAAGTTTCATCAATGATACAAATATAGTGTATTTGAACCTACCTCATGCCACTTCCTTGTGTAACGTTTGGTGACATCATAAACTCCATCTCTTGCAATAGCAATTACATAATTTAATTTCTTGTTCCAACTACAAGAATGAAATTTAAATATTAACTAAACATTGTAAGGAGCAAGAACTAAAAAACAAAATATTCTGAAAAAAGATTGATGATAGAACTTAGAGCACCCTTTTTCGTATAACAGTGGTCTGTCATAGATTCCGTCACAAGGATCAAGATGCATCCATCTGCAAAGATGCACATTTTTAAAAGTTGAGATGACCTTAGACACTGTTTAGGCAATTATTATGATCTTGGGACCCTCAAACCAAAACGGCATAAATTTTAATATTGAAGCATACCTTCCTAAAGATTCTGAGTAACATTCCGTCCATACATGATCTGTGAAATCTAGAATCTGGAGATTAATGAAAATTATCATAAAGAAACAGAATATCTCAAGTAACTGGACTTCCATATATTTAAAGAATAAAAATCTCACTCAATCTCTGATCCACTGATACATAACCTCTTAAGTTAGCTCATAAAGTCGCCAGAATATGCATGTCTCTAAGTAATAGCCTATCTCTGCATTTGTTCTCATGTTTTTTATCAAAAGATATGGTTTTGAAGTAAAGTCAGTTATATTTCATGCAACCAGAATATCATTCTCATCATTTAAAGTCTTCAATCTTTTGAACAAGTGAATGTAAGTCAGTAGTACATTTAGACTGTAGAGTTACCCTACTATGTATTTTCTTAGTTGTGATAAATCAGTTTAACCAGTCCTACTGAGTATCATAAAGTTAAAACTGGGAGTTGAATTAAAACCAAAAAAGCTAACCAGACGGGATTCATAGCCGAAAGATCGACAATAAAGCGTAAAGCAATTGGCCCACTCCCCACAACGCCCTTTTCTTGTTTCCACAAGCTGCATTGAAAAGAGAGGAAACAATGAATTTATGAAATATGGCTTTCTCAATCAGATGCAAAGAAAGTGAAGGCTGCAAACCTTCAATGGATCATTATAGCGTGGGAACCGAGTAATTCTTGAACAGAAGTTGCACCTGCAGTTGTCCCACAAAAATGTTACAGAGAAAAAGGCATAGGGTGGCTGTGTACCTCCATGTCTTATTCTAAGAGAACAGTAACTTTCACCTAGCTCTGACCATGTGCAAACAAATAGGCAAAAGGACACAAAAAAGGGAAAAAAATTATGCATCCTTGATTCTTTTCATATGAACAATTGAAACCATTTCTCAAACACTTCATTGGATAGTTAAAGGGACAGAATTTGTAGTTTTCAAAATAAACTTAAGTGATAATTGAAATTTTCCTGTAAGTGGTTAGACATAAATTTTAACACATTATGCCATGTCAAATCAGTCACCATGGATAAACTTATGGCATTGGCAAAAATTCAATCATTACAATTTACAAGTATGCCTTGCATAGCCAGAGTCCTCATGACAGGGATTTGAATTTAGGACAGTTCTTGTGCTCAAGTCTTTATTAACCAGAGAGTAAAATCAAGAGCTAAAAAAGCAAAAGTGTAAAGCCACTAAATAAACTTACCTTTGACATGCAAAGCCAACTTAAAATTGAATATAAAATGAATGTTAACTATGTAAAACGATGACATTCATTGATGTAAACAGCTGGTGCCAATTAACTATGAGACCAACTTCAAATAAAAAATTAAAACATTAGAAACAAAAATAATTTCTAGACAAACCGGTAAAGTTCAACTCGAGTTGCTCCATAAGAAAGTTCTGTTGGAAGTGGTGCACCCATTCCTTGATTCCTTGTTTCCTTCCCACAACCATCACAGGGAGGTGAATTAACCCAACTGCAATATCAGCATTGAGGGTCACAAACATATATCAAAAGAGAATATAACTTCTGTATAACTGAACTTACAAAATATACTCTTCCACCTTGGCATGACAGAACTAATACTCCCCAAAAATTAACAAAAACTTTATTGGGGAATAAGATGTCTCAATTTTATGCTGTTAGAGCAACACACAAACCTAATCTTCAGTCTAATTCCTAAAGTATCTCAGATGTGGAAATAATTCAAGTTTATTGAATCCAAAACTATAAAATTTTATAGAAAGTTCACTGGAAGAGGAAGGCATCACACCTAAGAAACAATAAGGCATGGAGTAATGGATAATCATTGCAGTTTAAAGATTAAGAATATTGAGTGTGAACCTCAAAGAGCTAAATTTAAAAGATTTCCCAGTCATTTTCCAATAATCTTATTCAAAACAATTAATTTGTTTTGTGCATCATAGTCTTTAGTCAATGAAGTAAAAATGTGATTAGTAGAAAGCTCATAATAATGTTGTAGAACTTAATTATAGCTTGCAATGTTAATTGTTATTTTATAAAAATCCTAAAGAGATTGCAGATTCAGATCTCTCAACAGAATCCATATAAGAAACCAAGCTGATTCAGATAGACAATAAAGGAGGTAAAATTGAGAAAAAAAAATGGAACAACAGAGAGCAAGAAATTGCAAAATTATCTCAGGTAACATTTCCTTCATCACTTCAAAACTCCGTATGTTTCTAAAATTATTCCATGCAGCGCATTTAAGAGATGTAGGGAATGAAACTAAGACTATTTTCCAACCTAATGAAGACATGAACAACTATACAATCTAGTCAGGTGCTTTCAGCTCGAAACTTCCACATAAACAATTTGGGTATGTGATTGTTCAACTTACAAGCATTCTCTTGGATTTAGAAAATCATAGTGAAAAAAATGCAAAGTAACAAAGAACACCTGAATGATTGTTTGAACCAGAAAAGCAGCTGAAGCAGGAAAGCATGGTCTTGTTCAGATTTTGATGGTTTAAGGTTCCCCTCCTAAAAAGACAATTATCAGAATGACAAATTATTTTTTTATAAGAATGACCAATTATGATGCAGCACATAAAAGTTTTTAACTCAGTAGAAAGTAAAAGAAAATGAGAGTATGAACTTAGAAGATATTCAATTGAAGCTCACCCTAGCCAAAGAGACCAATGCTTTCTCCTCAAGCTTATCTACAGGAACTGACTCACGAGCCGCTTCCTGACGGACAGGGTCTTCATACTACATCACAAGCATGTCAAGTTTGAAGCAAAACATCAAATTAGTGTCTCTTACATTATTTTCCCATTAAAAGTTAATTGAGAAAATCATTAAAAAAAAAAAAGTATCTTAAAATGAAAAATGGAATTACCATAAGAACTTTACTGATATAAGGCCGAATTTGCTGCTCAAATTGACTGCTGTCTTCGCGCACTGCATACTGTTGACGCAAAAGGGCTTCTTCCTCTGCCTAAAATTAACAATAAAAACAAACATAAATATTAGAAAAACACCTTGAAACAACAAATTTGAAGCAACCGCATTTATACCAAAACAAACAATAAAAAAAAAAAAAAGAAATTATCCTGCTTAATTTAAATTAAAAGGACAAAAATTATTCCCAATTACAACAAATTGAAGAAACTTTCAAAAAAAAAAAAGTAATAATAATAAAAGGAAGGGAAGGGAAACTCAATGCCAAATGAATCATATTTCTATGAAAATTATCAAAGGGGCGAACCTGCAACATTCGCGCCAATTCCTCATCTGATTTCAAGAATTCCGAATCGGATTTTTGGCTACTTTCAGCTGTTTCTTCATGTTTCTCTTTGTCCTCTTCAGAGATCGATACCAACCGGAGCTTCTCCGAAATGGTGACGAGATCAGAGTCGCTAGACACAACGCGATCACCATCTTCCCCGAGGATCTGCGCCAACAAATCCACCATTAAAATAAATGGGTCATTTAGTATGCATTCGAAACATCAATCAAACAGACAAGTGACAACCTTTTGCTCATCAGGAGGAATTGAAGTGAGAGAGAAGAGCTGAAACTTGAAAACCTGAAAAACAAAGCAGAGAAATGGTGTTAGATAGAAAGAAGCAGCTGAATTGAGAAATTCCGGTTCGGAACTGAGGAAGAGAAAGAAAAAAAAGGGAGAGACTTCGAAGCCGTCGTCGGTGTTGTAGTCTACGTCGAAATCGGAGTCGTCGTGGCGGACCAGAAACTTGCGAGCCACCATTTTTCTTTTTTTCTGCTTCTGTATTTCTCGTAAAAACAGTAGACTAGGCAGAACTTTAACAGTGTTTGGGAGAGCTTAAATACAAAAGTAAAAATTTTCTTAGAAAAGGGTCCTTTTAAAAAATATATATATTTTTTAAAGTTTTTAAAAATGTTTAAATAAAAAGTTAGACGGTGTGGTTGAAGTTTTTAATAAATGTTATATTGGAAATGGTTGTTATAAAAATATTATTTTTGTAAATAAAATTAAAATAAAATAAAAGTAATATACTAATTTTATTAAAATCAAATTGAGAAACTCTAGCATAAGCACCAATTTGATATTTTTAAAATTTATTATAAAAATGAACAAAATACTAATTTATGAAAAATTATAATATTTTTTATAAATTATAATATTTGATGTAATTCAAGTTTTTGAATCCAAAAAAACTTTTTACCAACTTTACCAAACATAATTAAAGTTTTGTCCAAATTTTCTTTTTTTATTTTTTGAACATGGGTATAATGGGAAGCGAGAATTTTTCAAGTTACCAATCAAATTTTTGATTAATTAAACTTAAATATTAAAATTTAAAAACCAATCATTAAATCCAAAAACTTCATTGTTCATTTAAATTTATTTAAAAAGGTGCCTTTAAAAGTAAAATTTTGAAATTTCTTCTAATAAAATTTTAAATTTGTAAGATAAAAATTTTCATTTTTAATTAAACAGATTATTTTTTAGACTTTACCAAGATGCCCTCGTTATTTGTTTAGACAAAAGTAGCAAGATATAAGAGATTATTTTTTAGATTTTTATTAGTTTTTTTTTTTTAATTTGTGCACATGTTAATATTACATTTTTTATAAATTTGTATAAAAAAGTAAAAGGTAATATTTATTTTAATATTATTGGTACGTGTATGAATTTAATTTGATGTTAATTTTTTTATTTTTAATTTAAATTTATTGTAAAAAATATATTTTTTATATTTATAATTTGTATTTAAAGGCATCAGTTAAAAATTATTTTATTTAATTAAAAAAATAAAAAAGATTTAAATTTCTTACCTTAGCCTTAAATTAAGATTTTTAGATTATTGAATACTAATTTGCCTAATATTTTTTTGAGTAAACTTCTTCTCCTTACAAAAGAGGTGCACGGTCTAAGTCTTTAGGGCTACATTATCAATTTTTAACACAAATATTTGGAGGCAAAAACTTACTTTTTAGCTTTTTAGTTTTTTATCTTATTAGATTTGTAAATTTTAATCTATCATTTTATATTTATACTTTTGACTCTTTACCTATTAGAATCAAAGAAAATAATCATCACTTTATAATATTTCGTTAGTTCTGTTAATTAATTGTTAACTTTATTAATTAACTGTTAATTTTATTAATTAAAAAGAGATTTTTGTTAGTTAATAATTAGTTAATAGTCACTTAATAAAATTAACAGTTATCTAACAGAACTAATAAAATATTATAAATAAAAGTTATTTTTTTAATTTTAACAGGTAAAAAATTAAAAACATCATAATATAAAATATTAAAACTTATAAATTTGATAATACAAAAAACTAAAAGCAAGTTTTTACCGATCCGTAACCCTCGTAAGTTTATTGGTTTTATTGGTTTTGAACAGTTTGAATGCTCAAACGATTCTAATAATCTACCCAAACCATTTTACAATTTTTACTGGTAAGGCATTGGTTCAGTCAATTTGACCATCTATCCCATTCAGTTTTTAAAACATTGACCCGGACTATAAGTTAGTCAAGTCAAGTTTTATACCATTCACATTTAAACTTAATAAATTAAAGTTCAAATTTTTATTAAATTCAGATGTACTATTTGTTACCCTTTATTCCTCATTGGCTAACTCGTACCCTTTTTCTACTTGTACTATTTCTTGTCGGCTAGATTTTAATTATTGTCCTAAATAAGTCCTAAAGAGCCCCAGTACCCCATACCCATCGCTCTCTTTTCTTCTCTCTTTTTTCCCTTTTCCCACAACTGCCTCCACCATTCTCCCCTTGGTGGCTAGGGACACCTTATCTTTGAAGGTTTCTCTTTCAAAAGGGGTTTGTCTATCTATTCTATGAGTTTCTACCTAGTTTTTTTCCTCAATATTTTCATTGAGTTTTACCATGTTGTCAATGATATGGTGAGGAGTGAGGTCCTTATCTAAAACATGTTTAGTAAAATTTTTAAGAATTTCAGTTTTTTAATATTATTCATATTTCATAAATTAAAATTTTTTTAAAAAAACTTACATATTTAATTTTTTTTTAACCTTAAAAAGATTTTAAATAATAAATTTTAAAAAACTTTAAATTTGTGTTTTTTATAAATTTCATTTTTACTTATTTTTTACTCAATTTTTTTTATTTTTAAAAATCATTTTAAAATTTTTCCTCTAATAAAAATTTAAACTACCACTCATAAACAGTGAAAAAAAAAGTAAAAATTCCAAAAAAACTCACAAAACAAGCTCCTAATTTTTTTGTCCCAAAAGTAAAGCTAGCATGATAGAAGAGACTTCCACATAGATGACTCTCATCACTTGTGCCCTAACAACGATTACCCTAATGATCTTTAGGAATAGATGGCTTCTTGAACCTAACTATATAGATCTGTATACAAGCAGTATCACCTATTGTCTTTTGCTTAATATGGCTTCCATGCCCTCTGTTGAGTATTTATTAGAAATTATACTGATGTAATCTCTTTGTTTACTATCAATGAATTACATTTAAGTGTCCAAAAAAAAAAAGGAAAATCAATGAATTACATTACTTTCTATAAAAAATAAAATAAAATAAATGAGGAAATGGAAAAAAATTATAAAAACGAATTAGATTGCATGAATTTTGTCATACCTTTTTTAGGTAATATATGAGTCCTCTGATTAGTTTCTCCAAAAGCATGTTTAGTGGCAGCAGAGTGCAGAGCGGTGCTATTCTTCTGGAAAATACCGACTTAAAATGAAATTATTGGGTTTTAGTAGCACTATGAAATAAATCTCTCAGTTGTGGTGCCAAAAAAATGACTTCTTTTAGGGTAAATCGTGTAGCAAAAGATGTCATAAATACTATTTTAGTGCAAACTATTATAATAAAGGGTTACAAAAGACAATTTTTTTTGTAATGTAGCTAATTTTTCTATTGAATCCTGGCATCAAACGAAGCAAGGAAAATATAGGCTTAAAATGAAAGGAATGGGCTTTACTAGCTATTTCTATTCTATCATGGCAGCAAGCAAAGCATCATCAGCTTCCACAAGTAAAGTATTACATGACAACAACATTAGTCCACCTTCGAATCTAGTGCCTTTTTAAATTAGCCTAGAATAAGAGGATCAGAAAACTATAGGTTACGTTTGGTATTTGAGAATGAAATGAGATAGGAATGAAATTAATAGTGGAATCTGTTAATCTTGAATTTGCTGCTGTGGGCAAAACCAAATTTTTATTGGGCAAATTTGACTTTAGCTGTTGAAAGCTTGGAAACTTACTTGTGGGTAAAAGGAAAGCTGGTTAGAGCTTGCGTCCGAGGTGATTTTGATGTGCACCTTCTAATGCTTAAGTTGGTAATATTCCAGTGATGGTGATGGAAAGAGGAGAATGAGAGAAAAAT